TTCAAGTGATAGAATAACACGAACTACAAAAATTAGTTTGGGTTTTTCCACAGGCCTTATGAAAACTTTATGCGAAGTTGGAAAAATTTGCCATGTAAATATGCAAATTAGCAGTTTGTTTACATCTCCACACCACAGATCACGGCCGCGAAAAAAGTCATAAAATAGTTTTAACAGCTTATTAATGCACACATTAGCCTATCTAAGGACTATCTAAGCATGATTGGCCTTTGTTATTATTTTAAACGATTATTTGTTGAAGTTAAGCCTACACTTCCGGTGTTGAAGACACTTAGCTTGCTTGCCTCGGTGGCATTCCATCGGTGGCATCCAAAGGAAACAAAAAATGATTTATCTAACCTAAAAGGGTTGTAAATTGTTTTTAAAATATCCGGGATAGAGACCACGAGTTTCAAGCTCGATTCTCTTGGTATTAGTTATTACAGTCACAAATAAGAATAAGTTGTTGAAGGGCGTCAATACACTGCTTTTTTCTTTTGTTGTTGAAACCTTTTGTTGGGTACATCAAAAAAACTCGCAGATAGTACTGAGCATAGATATACTCAGTTGCTTCAATCGATTTCCCTTGGCCATTGCACAGATATCAAAGTTGTCATAAATAACTGGGTGACATAGGCGTACATTATCTAGAATGTCTTGTCGAAGTTCATCGTATAGCTGCTCGTCTTGTGCTGCTGCTTGATCTGGCTCCGAGTATTCTTTATTCCTTATTTTTGCGGCCGTTCGTGAAAAGTAAGATTGTGTTTGCTGTGGGCTGAGGTGTTCCTCACAGCTAAAGACCTTCGAGCCATCCAATTTTCGGGCAAATCACATATCACGAGAGATGGCATTTGGATCTTATATATAGGAATATAGTATAAAGGCCTTTGTCAATTGAATTCAATAAATTGTCAACTATCTCAACAAACGCTAACGAAGTTGAATGATGTTTTCTATACCCTAATTGATATTTGTAAAGAAGTTTTTTTTTTTTTCCAGAAATGAAAGAAGCCTTCAGTACATATGTTTCTCCTATAATTCGGTGAATGGGGACAGTATTGAAATTGTTCGGTAATTAGATAACTCATAGGCTGAATCACCTTTATTGAAAGGAATAATTTTTGTAAGTTTTAATTTATCAGGAAAAATACCTGATGAGAAAGATTGGTTAAATATATTACTTAACGGTTTACATATGTAAGGATTAGCAAGTTTCAGTAGACTTAATGGAATTCCTGAGGGACCAGAAGTTTTATATGGATTTAACAAGGCGATCAGGTCGCTCACCTCTTGAGGACTAGTAGGATCAATAAAAAAGCTGTCACCGGATGATGAAGGTAAAAGAAATTCATGAAATGAATAAGTTCTCATATTGATGAACTTCGCAAGATTTGGGCCAACATCCCTAAAATAATAATGAATAGACTGATAGTTTCCCACAGTTCTTTAGTATCATTTTTGATATTAATTATTTTATTCTTAAAATAAAGTCTTTTGCTAAGCTCTTTGACATGTTTTAACCTATTTGAATATTGTTTATAATACTTCTTTTGTGTTTCATTACCATTTACGAAATTATGATAAAGATATTGTTTATGTTTTATAGATTTTAGGAGGCCTTTTGTTATCCATGGTTTTTCAATGTGTTTACGTTGTTTCTTTGAGATTGACTTATACGGAACATGAATATCTACCAGTGCATTAACTTTATTCAATAACGAATCACAAGAAGCGTTTACATTTTCTCTGTCGCAACTTCTTTATA